CTTCTAACACAATCCTCGCCGCCCAAATCGACGCTGGAATTCGTGATGCCCGCGTCGTTCAAACCCCTCGTTCCGGTTGCTTTCCGGCACCGTCTCGCCCTGCTCGGGGATCTGCACCGGTCTCCTCACAGCACCCCGCACACCCACCCCGCCGTGGTTACCCGACCAGGTTTCATCCCCGGGCCCTTTCCCCGGTGACTCCAGCCCCTCGCTTCGTACATCATCGCCGACAGGGCCTGACTGCGGGGCGCCCCGGAACGAATTGACACTCCGCACATTTTCGGGGAGGCCATCCCAGAAGCCCCCCTCCAGGGGGGGCCCGACCAGCCCCCACGGAGCGGAGGACACGTCGCTGGGGCAGCCGTTGAAAGAATAGACCACGTGGCTCTCTGACAATTCTCCGGTCTGTGAAGGCGGAGCCCTATCCGAGCGCTGCTGAAAAGGGTTCGTGCGGGGGGTCATCCAACGATTCAGCGAGCTACTTCCAGGAGCATTCTTTCCAAACCAGCGCTCTCCGCCCCCACCGCGCAGCCCAGTCTCTCTCCCAGTCGCCCTGTTTAAATTTGAAAAACCCCCGTGCCAGTTGAACCTTTCATCGTAACCACTCTGGAGACCCGCCTCGTAACCGTGCCCGTAACCCTCCCCTAAACCCTCACTCTCAACACGTTCTCCGAACTCCATCCTGTCTTCGCCGCCCAGTTCGACTTCCGCTCCGAAATCACACTGTGCCGCATCTGCGTAATCAAACTTTTCGCTTTCGCCAGCTGCCCCGTTTCTTCTCCTGGCTCCTCCCAGTCGCCTTTTGTTTCCCCACCGCTTGAGGAGGTTTCTTGTGGGGGCGCACTGTTCAAATGCATTTCGTCCCACGCCTGGCGCACGCGCTCTCCGTCTTCTCCCTCACTCGGCGGAGACCACTTTCTCTCCCCGCCTCTTGCAGCTCTCTCTTCTCGGCACTCGTCGCCTTCCCAGGTGTCGGTGGTCTGCTGCCGCCTTTCGCTCGCTCCTGACTTGCTTCCGCCTTCCAACCCCAAGCGCCATTTCCGTTTCTTGAAGGGAAGGGCCACTGTCCCGGGGAAGGCCCCCGAGCGGCCGCCGACAGTCTCGCACACTTCTGCCGAAGCATGGCGCTGACCATCTTGCTCTGGCTGCCGGCCGAAGATCGGTTCCAGCTGGAACCCGCCGCTTCGCACACGCGAGCTGCCCCCGAAGCCGTCGGCGCTCTCCTTGGGCAGACTGGGGCAGGCGTTGATAACCGGGGTTATGGAGGAGGGTTTGATGACACCGTCAGGGAGTGCAGCGGAATGCGCAGAGTACGCGCCAGGCACCGGTGCATGTTCCGTCAGAGTGAGAGCCCTCATGGCTCGCCCCGCAAGTCCCTCCACTTCCGATCCCCCCGCGCCATGTTCCCCACCGTCCCTTCCCTCGTCACCGCACAGCGCTGCTGCTTTGCGAAGCGCGGGGCCCCCCAGGAAACAGTACTGCGTAGACCAGTCCCGGTCAGCATTTGGCAGCTGCTGCGAGATCGGCAAGGGGGCGCTGCTCCAGAGGGCCGGCCTGACCCCATCAGCCCCTTCTCTCTGGAGGCCACCGCGGGAGGCAAACGGGGCGAAGGGAAGATTCGACGGCTCGTCTGAAGTATAGCGGGCGTTCGAAGGGGACTGACGCTCTTCGCTGTGTTCGGGGGCCGGAACTTACAGGGTCTCGAGCGCAGGAACCGCAGCGGGCGGGGTTTGGTTGGCAGTGGAAAAGGGAGGGAGGCGCGGGGCATGAGGGCAGTGGCGCTTCTTCTTGGGGTGGTTTTGGAATGCAGCGCTCGCAGACTTGGAAGGGGCACGGTTACAGTCGGAGCGGGGCTGTGGAGATGGAGGGGGTTCAAACAAGCCGTCGGCAAGCTGTAAAAGAAGAACCTTGAGATTAGACAGCATGCCTGTGGTTGGCGATCATTTGGGTCTGCGATGCGTAGTCCGTTTCCAAAGTAGGTTGCCGCTATCGACAAAATGTTGTCGAGCAGCCCTAAACCGGGGTCTCAATGAGACAACCATCTTGCGGATCAGCTGGAAGGGGCAGCTTGGAGAAATTTGAAATCGGCTCTTGAAGAAACTGGCTATGATAAAGATTCAACACTCACTCACTCGGCTTGCACAAAATGGACCGGATAAAAAAGAAAGAGAGGGAAGCTTGTCTGTCGGACTCAACGTGCAGGGTTTTGCTTGCACAAGACGGAAATAACGCTCAACAACGAGGAGAGCTGATGCTGGTCGAACGCGATGTAAAATGTATGACTCGAGCCACCCATGCTTCCCGGCATCGGCTCACAAAGACGATCGTAGGGAAAGCATAAGAAAGTGTTGATAGCCAATTCAATAATTTGTAAAAGAGCAGAATGCGCCGTGTCTGAAAATAAAAGAAATGATTCGCTCTCCAAATTCACCTCCCATACTGTGAATCTCAGCAAAATTGACTCAAAAGAAAACAAGAAATTGGTAAGAGAAAGGGGGAAGCAATCGAAGAGAAGACTGCAGTTCGCTCAACTTTTAAATCCAAGCTTTCTGATCACATGCAGAAAGTGTTTGGAAGCATACGTGCCTACACAGTGCCTCAAACATTTGAATTCAAAGCAGAAAGCGCTACCATACTGTCTACTTGAGCTCGGAAGCATCCCTATCTTGTAAACAGGGCAGAAAGGGAGCATCTTGAACCATAAGTCGATCAAATCGTCTAAGTGAGCACTTACATGTTGCATCTCCGTATCAGGCACTGCCGACGCCCACTGGCCCCCTCCCAGGCTCGCCCTCTTTGCACGCCCCTCCATGCCGCGGCTTTCCTGTTCCCAGCTCCTTTTCGGGGGCCCAGTGATGACTGTCCTTCGCCCCCCGCTCTCCTGGCTGTCAGCCATCTCGTCGCCCGCCCCGCTTTCCACGCTGTAACCCGGGCTTCCAGTTTCGCCGCCGTCGCTGGTGTTCGGCTCCGCGTAGGGTGGGAATCCATCCTGCCCCGCCAGCTGCCGCCCGAACCAAAAGGGTCCCATATCGTCGCTGTGCAGATTCCAAAGCGAATCGAAAACTGGCGGTCCTATGCCACCCCCCAGCTCTGCCCGGTTAGAGCTCATTTCGTCCGCAACCTGAACGTCAGCACGCCCCTCGCCCCGTCCGCAAGTTCCAAACGAGCCCTCCTCGGCCCCTGCCACAGTCTTCCGGGGTTGGCCATGAGCAATCATGGGGCTTTTCTTGTCAGGTGTAGGGTCCTGCTCGCCACTAAACTTCGCAGCAGTCCCTACCCCCACATTCTGAAACCCCGTCTTTACGACCTTTGACAGCGACGCCGCACCCTGAGGAAGCTGAACGTTTGCAGGCACCGGTCTCAGAATGTGGTTTTCGAGTGGGGGAGGTGGAGGGTCTAAGGTTTCGCGGGCAACGACGGGGTAGGGCTGTGACGGGGGATTGGAAGCGGGCCGGGCGATTGTGAAGGACGGGGGCCTCGGTTCTCTGGCAGGAAAGCAGGAGGGTACACTTTAGCTCTTGCTTATACTGGCGAATAATTTTTTTTGAACATAGGGCCTAAGAGCTGATAATCAGATGATTCAGGGATGTATCTGGTTCTCAAAACCTGAAACATTGCAGGTGAAAGACGCTGATTGCTAGGATCTATCAGTTTGTTAGAGATCGCGGAAAGAAGAAACTCTCCTACTTGGACTTCAGAATTGCTGCAAGCAGTCTTCATCAAGAGGTGACAAGATTTTGAGAAGAGGTCGCGGCTTGCTTGCAAAAGAGGACTGAAGGCATGGACAGGTTATGTCAAATATAGGTTCAGAATCATGATGGAACTTAAGTTGAACTCCACCATTTTGACACGGTCCCTTCTGTAAGGAGGTCAAGGGTGGTGCCACGCAGCGCTGCTTACAATGTCAGCTGCTGGATGAAAGCCATGATATACATGCAGCTGAGTATCTCACCTGAGCTCCTCCTGCTGCGGATAGGCGTCATCTAGAACACTGCTTCGTGCGCCTTGGTCCGACTTGGCCCCGCCGAGAAATCGGTCTCCCTCCACCATCTTGTCCAAAATGTAACCATGCGCGACAGCCTCGGCAGCTAGCCTGCAGAAAGGGTTAGTTTCGCCATTTTCAGCCTACTCTCATAGGAGTTTCACCAGTGTCAGTCTACTCCGTCACACCAGCAGGGACTCTTGACAGGTGCCGAGGGGGGACAGTCAGCAGAGCACCCAGGCAAGAGAAACAGTTTTATCAGCCAACATGAAATTATGCTGAAGACATTTGAAAGCAAGTCAGACATTGAGCCTCTGCCTGCCAGAACAGGTCATTGACTGTCTGTGCTTGCGGTTATGTCAGATTAGAACATTTCCAGCAGAGCACCCCGGCAAGACAAAACATTCTCGTCAGCCAACATGTGTTTACGCTTAAGACCCTTACAGAGTAAGTGAGACATTGAGCCTCTACCTGCCACAACAGGGCATTGACTGCTTGTGCTCGCGGTTCCGTCAGAACTTTACAACCGCACAACCTCAGGCACACACTCGACGAGAGGCATGCAAAAACTGGATGTTGAGCTTACACAAAGGTGCTTGGCTTCCTACCTGTCTACGGCCACAGAATCCTCCATCTCGGCAACTCCAGCTGTCGGCGGCCACCTGCGATGGTCACCAGACGCAGGCTTCTTAGTGTGGTATCTTACGTAGACTGGGATGAAAATTTGAACAGATGCATTGCGCTCCAGACTTCAGCATAAGTGTCCATTGACAGAAGAGCGTCACGTAAGATGTCCAATGGTCATCAATTCCTGCGTTCATAGATTGCGCAAGGAGGGGGCTGAGCAGACCGACTGGCGCCAACTTGGCTGTTTGCTCTTTCACGGCAAGAACTACTGCAGGTAGCATAGGAGGCAAGAAAGATAATCGAGCATTACGATACCTTTCAGTCCGGTGCCCTTCCCAGTCCCGATGGCCCCTTCTCTGCCGTTTGCATTGTAGTCTGTGCAACGTTTGGGCTCCTGACAAAGACCAACAGTACGCATTGTAGTCTGTGCAACGTCTGGGCTCCTGAGAAAAGACCAACAGTACGCAATGCCGCAATGATGTCACTGTCTTGTCTGGTCCTGGCTCTGAAGTGCTGTTATTCTTATGGAATGAGATATGCCATATGTCAGACGGTAAGGTCAGCAACGTGAACACAGACAACCAGTGACGGAGGGAAGTGTGTCAAGAATGTCCTGAACAAAGAAGGTCCTCACACTGCTAGCGCAAACTCTTGTGGTCAGCATGACATTCACGATCTTGCGGGTATGAGAGCACACCGTGGCGCAGAAGCACAGGCAACCTCCAACAAGTCAGCATAGGGCTGCCTGGCCCAACAAAAGAGGTACCATTGACTTGTTAGCCAAACACCGTCCGCATAATCACCTTTGTGTGGGGTCCAAAATCTGCTTGTCGTCGTGACCCCACTTCGAGTTGTTAGAGCTTTTTGTGAACCTCTCCCACTTTTTCTGCAAGAAGAAGCAATCTGTGAGGCCGCTACCAACAAGAGGCTACATTCTATTCGACGCTTTTTCAGACAAACAGCATGTATGATCAGGCACACACTGACAAACACATGACCTCACATAAGCACTGACCCTCGAAAAGAAGTCTGCCTAGTCGCATCGTCTTGCGTCAAGATGCACCAGCTTCATTGGCTCAACCATCGCTAGCCGGAAACTTACTTGATGCTTCTGGTGTGTGTCCTCCTCAATGAGGTCGAGCAACTTCTTGGCTCGCCACCTCCGGACGAAAGAAAGCTGGCCGCTCTGGAGTATTTCCTTGCAGACTGACTTCAACATTTGCTTCTCACGGCCCCCATGGACCTGTCCTCCTCCTGCATCGACTGCGCTCTGCAATGCTCTCAGATCAAACTGCTGGGGAGTACCCGCGTCCAAAAGGGCGAACCCATAGTTGCGTATCAGAACCAAGTTGTCTACATTGGAAGCACTTGCAGCCATTGCTCCTGTCTATTCTTCCAGATCACTCATTTGTTCGTATTGCGCGCAGCTGTCGTCTTGCATACTAGAGGAATGTGATCTCAAATCTTGCCCTGTGTCAGAATAGGATTATTTACCAGCGTCAAATCCCCGTCAAATGAGGGCATCTATGGTTTGTAGTCATGCAGGTGCTTCGCTGTTGCCATATCAAGAGAGGAGTGCGCCCATGCTCGACTTTTTCTTTGTGGTGCGCCAGGCGCCTAATGCAATGCACCCTCCCCTTTTTGTTCCCTCATTAAAGTGTTGAATGCATCATGCATGCAAGGACTCAATTGAGGTCCTTGAACTTTTTTGGGTGCCGAAGATCTGTACCGTTCGATAATGTCTGATCTCGGATCGGACGTCAAGCGTTCTTGCTCAGAAGCGCGCGCGTAGCAAATCCGCTTAACTCAGTTACGAATTCGTCATGCTGCTGACAGCCTTCAGTCTGCCTTCAGTGCTGAAATTGATTCATTGATCGTGTTATGCGGAATATACAAGAGTCACAAGCTCAAAGACCTTCGAAGTGGTGCCCTGACGTCTCAATATCTGATTTTTAAGGGGGGAACGAAGCCAAATGAAGCCAATTTTGTCCGCGGGAGAATGGAAGCTGGGAAGCCCTCGAAGCGGGTTTCGCTTCTTCACTTTCTAATTTACTTTGAAGTAGCGGGGGAGTTCTGGAAGTCAAATATGAGATGTTATTAAACTCGAAAGAGCTACACGAAATGAGCTATGCGTTTCGTGGTTCGTTCGTTCTGCAACGTTGTTTCGTGACGTTGAGTGGCTTGGAAAAGTGAACAAACACTAGCTTTGTGATTGCCAGCCTCGTCGGGAAGCAAGCTGCTGTACATTTTATGGCAGAAGCTAGCTGCACTTGACACATGCCAATATGTGAAACTGCCATGAAGCCAATCGGAAACACCTATGCGACTTTGACGCAAAAGCTTGAACAAAACCGCAGAAGATGCTGTATGATGACGTAATAGCCTCTTGCGCCGTGGTCACGCTTAAGGAAGCCGCAACTCCTAAGCGAGCCCAACCAGAAACGTTTTTTCGGCAGCAAAAGGTGCAACGTTTGTTGGAACATGCGCTAATGATGTCATGTATGATCACCCGTAGCGCGTGTTCCCCAGGACCGCAGCCTGGACCGGGACCGCAGCCCGGTAAGGAAGTCAGAGAACCCAGGGACCGCAGCCCTGCGGGGACCGCAGCCCTGAACGCCTAGCAGACGTTGCAGAGAGGGGCAGCTTTCCTGTATATAAAGCCGTCTTACGTGCAGAACAGACTTTGTGGGGTGGCAGAACATGGCCATCCAGCCGTCCGATGATGCCACGTGTCAGAATCAACGGCTGCAAAAAAAGGGCTTGGAATCCGACGGTCGGCCAACGACGCGGAGCGGCGAGGACAGCTTCTTGGAAAGCTGAAAACAGGTGTCGGCGACGCTTGCGAGCCCGAGAAGGCACGCACATCCGAGATCGAGTCCAGGCGGAAGTGACCATACGAAAGACGGATTTGAACCTTATGGCAAAACGTAAGGTTGGAGTACAGTCTTGAAAGCTCTTGGGTCCTCTCGGTCTAGCCTATGATTTGTCACACCCACTTGACGTCCAACAGCGCATGCAAAACCAAACTACGTAAATACTTGCTTCTATCTGAGTGCTCCCAACCGTGACCGCTATGAGCATCCATGCTACAAGCGATTCCTACTGCGTCTTGTTTCGAAACTCAGCGGTGGTGTGATGCCTGTTCTCAAGCGTTTGCAGAATCAGCTCTTGCCGGGCACATTCATCAATGCTCTGGTGCCCCTCTACTGTTCATGACGTCTCGAATAGAAAGGGACCTTCAGAGAAACATGTAGGTCACATAATCGGCTAACAATCCACCGGCTACAGTGCATGCCATTTGCGAATGGCCACAGGGAGCACAATAGGACTTCCCCGTCTGATAATAGCACGAGCCCGGAGGTCGGCGGCTTGAAATGACTTTCGAAGAACTTTCGCAAGCAAGCATCCTCTACATCGACCTGAATAACTGCAAGCCGGGGGTCCTGAATGAAATCATATGACCCTCTGAGCGGAAGAACTGGACACGAGCCAGATATGCCCGCAGAAAATGTCATCGACTCCCCTCGACATGACGAGACCGTTTGCGAAACCGAACAGAAGCTGCCAATTCCGAACGATTGTACCAACCCCGCTCCGATATGGAAAAAGCGTCTTGTCATGTGAAGACAAGACCAATCCGCTTGGAGGCCCACTTACTCTCTGGAGCTTGGACCTTTACGTGCAGTAGTCACGTCACGCTGAGTCCCGCTTTTCGAGATAAAAGCTTTCTGGTTTGCCCACTGTCCGTTTAAGCCCTCGTTGTGGCATGGCGCCTTGAATTGTCTTCGAAGGCCAAAGAACAAAAGGAAAGCTTCCCTGTCCTGCGCTCGGCAGTAACCAAAAGGAAGGCAGCCCACTCGCTTCCAACAAGTGAAGGGGCTCTGAAGGAGCTAAAAGCTGAAAGCTAAAAGTTGAAAGCTTGCTTTTTGATTCCAGATAGCAGCTTTTGCGGTGGTGCGAGGAGTAAAGCTATGGCGGAGCCAAAAGCAGCCTTTCATAATGAGTTGGGCTGTCGTGAGAAACAAGAACAAGCTCCGAATGTGGAGTGGCCAAAGTCTATGGGAGGAGGGGAAGGAGCGGACCGTGAGGTTACCTGTGCTAGGGAACACGTCACAACGATTTACGATCTTGACACGCAGTGCCTTTCCCGCATTATGTGGCACCTAGAGCAGGAGCACAAGATTGACGTTGAAAGACCGGCGCCCCAAGACGAAGCCCTCAAGGCCTGCTCTCTGGTGTGCCGTCAGTGGCTCACAGCCTCCAACTTTGCCAAGAAGAATATCACCCTAAAGGGAGGGCCCCAGATTT